TCCCTGAGACCTCTTTCCTTGCTGGAGCTCACAATAAAAGACTCTGGAGGAGCGATAGTCTGGCATGCGAGCTGGATGACCAGCCCAACGCAGCTAATAATTCTTCAGTATCGTCAGGATGCTAAAACAGGTTTGCCCTATTAAGAACTATATCATTTGGGATCCTATCTTGCCATTTGATTTTAAGCAGCTTTCTGTGACAAGCTATATGAAACTGATTCAACTTTTTAGCATGGCCCTGATACACAGGTAGGTAGGTAAATTGGACTCCATCAGGACATCACACACGCAATAAACACCCGGTTACACAAAATGCCACCATGCGGATGAGTTTCACCCGTGGAGAGGTCCCTAAAATTCCGTTCAGCTGTTGGACCATATTTAAGGTTGGTTTGGGTTTAGGACCCAGGCAAAACTGACTGACTGACTTTTTACCCAACCAGGACATCACACAAGCGATAAACACCCGATGACACAAAGTGCCACCATGTGGACGAGGATCACTGTTGGTATTGCGGCACCTAGCAAAAGCCAGAGTGGGGCTTCAAATAACAAAAAAATTACGTCCTAAAAAGGACGTAAGGATACTGCAATAGTATTGGTAACAGGATTAACTCTATGCTGCCTATCACGACTCTTGAGTATTTCTGTCTTATAAAACCTATCAATACATGTTTAACCCACAAGCTATCATGTTTCTCTGGCACGCGTACCTGACTCAGTTGTTCAATCAAGACCGTTAACTCATTTTTTTTTTAATATATACAATTATGTCCCCTATTGTCGACATTTTTCCCTATTCTCGGCGTATTTCCGCTATTGGAGAAGAAAGACTTTAGTTGTTTCCCCTTCCTTTGTCGTCAACATTCGCAAAATCAATACTAAACACATCCATTATCGATCTTTGATTGATATCTCACAAAAACGGCAGGCTGGTTGAGGCCAGCTTTCTTGGGCAAACGTCAGCAAGTAGAATAAAGAAGATCGTTGGTATCTAAAATTATGCTTGCTATACACGTCACGATGGGATAGCGTGTTAGGCATCAACATATACTTATCTTTTGGAATCCACCTAGGGACTTTAACAAAATATTTGTATTTTGCATATGTGTGTGTATGTGTGTGTGTGAATATATATATATATATATATATATATATATATATATATATGTGTGTGTGTGTGTGTGTGTGTGTGTGTGTGTGTGTTTGCGTACGTGCGTGCGTGCGTGCGTGCGTGTGTGTGTGTGTTTGTTTTTTTCACTTGTAACTTGCAACCTTTTAGGGGATTATATAAAAATATAACTGCTGTGTTGCAATGAATGGCAGAGAAGTATATACATTATTTTGTGGACTTTGAGAGAGCTTTTGACAGCGTCCGTAGAGACAGTCTCTGGAAAATCTTACGACATTATGGAACTCCAGAAAAGATAGTCAACATAATTGCTCTCTTCTATGAAGACTTTTCTAGAAGTATAATAAAAATTACAATACATCTTTCCCAGTAAAGACAGGCGTAAGACAGGGATGTGTCAAGTCATCTCTCCTCTTCAACCTTGCGATGGATTGGATACTAAAAAACACAGTAGACAAGACATTGAAAGGCATACGAAGGACTCCATTCACCATGCTTGAGGACCTTGATTTTGCAGATGATATAGCACTTCTATCACATAAACATGAACATATACAAGAGAAAAGTAACAGACTACACAGCACAGCAGAAATGGTAGGACTGAGAATAAATACAAAGAGAACTAAGATCATGACAATCAGTCCAAACCAACAACCAGTGACCATAAGTAACCAATCACTTGAAAATGTAGAACATTTCACATATCTTGGCAGTGTGATGTCCCTATTGGGAGAGACAGAGGAAGACATACAGTCACGCCTGAACAAAGCTAGAGCTGCTTTTGGAAGGATGAGGCAAATCTGGAAATCCAACAGATACTGCAGAGGAACAAAACTCCGACTTTACAAGAGCATCATTTTGCCAGTTCTTCTTTATGGAGCGGAATGCTGGAGAATGGCCAGAAAGGATGTACACAAGCTGTCCACCTTCCATCACACATGTCTACTTAGAATTATCAAAATTTTCTGGCCAGATACAATCTCAAACATTAAACTACTTTAAGTCACAAACCAAGAAACTCTAGACAGTATGATAACCAAGAGAAGATGGAAATGGCTTGGCCATGTTATGAGAATGAATCTGATACACCTGCCAAAACAGCTCTCACATGGACACCAGAAGGAAAGAGAAAACAGGGGCGCCCAAAAACAACATGGAGACGAACGATGGAAAGTGACCTGAGTGCGGCATCTTTGACATAGAAAACTGCATTGAAGATTGCACAGGACAGGAAAGCATGGTAAGATCTCTCTGAAGCCTCATGTGCCACTAGGCATAACGAGAACTGATGATGATGTTTTAAGATACCAATTATATATATATACATGTGTGTGTGTGTGTGTAGTTGTGTGTGTGTGTATACACATACATATATAATAGTTTTTAATAGATTAGCTAATGAAATTTAAAACTGTAGGGGCCTCATAAATTCATATATCTTAGGATCTCATCAGATCTAAATCCGGCTTTGGTGGTTCCTTGTTATACGTCCTTAATCTGTTCCAGATCTTTGGACCTATACCAGACAGAGCAAAGACTATACCAAACGAGTTTTCCATGAATAACTAAATGGGGGAGTAATCTGTTTCCTAGAAGAAAAATCCGATTACTGTTGGCATATTACGCATTTATGGGGCTATATGAACTAATGAAAAATGGATAAAATCAATGAAAAATTAACTTCACTTTACCTCGCTAAGAAGGGACGAGTGCCTACTAGGATGTTGCTGAGAAGGGTCGAGTGCCTACTAGGATGTTGCTAGGATCTTCCAGAAATAAGATATCTGAGAATGGTGGTCCAAGTGACAAGAAGGGACAAAGTCCGCAATCAGACGTCAAGATCTTGATACCCAGTCCTTACAAACCCGAGTGGATCAATCACAGTTACGAGGGTTTGGACATGTATGCAGAATGAGATAACATCGGCCACCATGGGAGGCATGGGAGGATAAGAACCAGGGAACCAGACCTCCAGGACGACCCAGGGTCTGCTGGGAAGACAACATCCGAAGTCCCTAACTGACAGAGGACTGGAATGAAACAAAGCCAGAAAGAAAACTGCTGATAGAGAAGTCTGTCCATCTCTCTGGCAAACCTTTACACCTCAAGGTAGAAGAGGAGAGACTAAGTAAGTATATATATATATATATATATATATATATATATATATATATATATATATATATATATATATATATATATATCTTTCCCCTCTCTCTTCTCCCTACTTGGACCTGGTTGAGGCTCACCAGGTTTGACTTTTTAGGGGGTGAGGGAGATATATCAAAAGAACTTTGCTTTTGCCTTCTCCTCGAGATGTTTCTGAAATGTGACAGTGTTTGTTCATTCCAGGTAATTCTATTACGGCTTGTTTGGGTGGTACTTCTCGACAAAGTGTTTGATATCCATCTATTTACAAATATTTCCTTGATTAATAAAGTGAGCTTACTTTGACCCAACACGCGAGTCTTATTCCAAACAATGGTCGTATACCAAGCAGTAAGTTACTGGGCGTATTCCAGGTTGGACTTATTAGAAAGGTGACTATACCGAGGTAACACTGAAGTTGTAATCATAATCGTAGGGGATCCCTTATATAACTATACTATACGGTTGAACAGAGTTTATGGGATTTACTACTGTGTGATTCTAGTCCACGAGATGTTAATTCTAGGTACAACAGTTTTGGAGGGGATATCGGAAAAAGGTACCAAACCAGGCGAAAAGTAGAAAAACACAGTCGCAAAAAAAAAAAAAAAAAGGAAAAAAAAAAAAAAAAGAAAACTTTGCAGCTAAAAAACCTTTGTCAACACATGATGTGAATAAACAATGCTGCAATTAAAAACAAAAACATACAAAATTCACTCAACTGAGGTATCTCTAAGGGGGAAAAAACCACACGTCTTACCAGTTTAAACTCTGACACGTATGTGGTGTGTCCTGGCGAGTAATAACGACTACCCACCATCGCCGCCATTTGCCATGTGAGCTAGTGGCATGAGGAGGGTCATTTACTCTGCACACTTATTTTATTCAGCAATGCCACGTACCATCACCACCCTCTTCCATTCACTTTTTTTTTTTTTTTGGTGTGTGCGGATGATGTCCGCCAATACACTTTCATATTGGTGCACTCCTCTCTTTTAATTTACCCGTGGGAAAGTTGTCAAGCCGTTTCCCTCGCGCTCTAAAGGTCATTGGTTCGTCTGATTGACTCGTCGCTGGTTCGCGAAGGAAATTTTAAGGGACATCCCTGGGTATCCTGGCTGGAGCTACAGAGTTCGCGCTTTGTGTGATGCTCTCGGCAGTAGTCTGAACGCTCTGTAGAGAGATGGTGCCTTATGAGATAATAAAGTCGACCGTCTGAACTTCGACTTTCAACTTTAAAAATCAATCGGCAGAGGTTTCATATAAGGCACGCCGCCACCAAAATCCTGGGGTCAGAAAACAGTTTCAGAGGGTTAGGACTTGTTTACCTGAGCATTAATATTTATTTTTATTATTATTACTTAATGATGTGTGTGTGTGTGTGTGATATAATAGGAAATGACTAATCGGGGCTTCCATCGAGGTCGGTGTGCATCTAGCCGAATGGCAATTAACAGCATACTGCACACAAACAAGCCAGTAAAACGGATATACACGCAAGACTCAGGCCCTAGGACAAAGTCAAAGTTACAATGGACTTTCCTTCGAAGCTTACGGGGATATCAAGAGGTGAACAAAGAAGAAGAGGAAGAATATGAAATATGTAAACAAGTAACTAAACGTGAATGAACGTCAAAAGATAGAGTGCTCTTCCTCAACACAAGTTCAGGGGACGCCATTCTCGTGGCCTGGAACCAAAACAAGAGTTAGTGTCAACAAAATGGCAAGCGAAATCAAAGAGGCGGATCATAGAGCAAGTACTTCGGACTCTGAAGCGGGCAATGTAGACTTACTGGAAACAAACGACATTCCTGGGAACAGCGATAACACACTCCTGGTCGTCAGCGACTCGTATGCAGATCTTAACTATGTAGATATAAACGATAGTGATATTAAAAGTCACAGAGGTACAATCAACGCGTTGGTGAAGAAGAAAGCGAAACGAGGAAATTCGGTAACAACAGCTGATGATGGTATAGCAGCTGATGCTAATGAAAACAATGGTAGAGATGATGAGGATGTTTCTGAACATATAGATAACACCAGTGGCAATAATGTGGAGAATGATTCTTCGGAAGTTTCGGTTGATGATTCTCAAGACGATTGTTTAGAGGTAAGCTGCTACTGCTAAGTGGAACTTGACAATGACACCTAGTGTCACACTCAGGGAGCAAATGTCATTCATAACCATAATCTATTGGAGTTAGTGTATACTGTATTATACACTGCATTCATTATTACTTGTATTTGTACATAAGTTATTGCTTATTACTACACACTGAATAGTGGAGCATATGTCCAGTCTTAGTAGAAGTTTCCCTGTAGAATTTTGCAAACAGATTAGAAATATGAGAGCAAGAGATGAATGCTACAACTCAACCATGGCCATAAACAACAAAAGGCAGTCCTGTATTTAATTCTTGATGGGCAGAATATTTTAAGAAGCTTCCAGTTCTGAGAATGAAGTAGATGATGTTGTTAATATTGTGCCTTAAAGCAGCGATCAATATGAACCTAAAACTTTTCAAGATCAGAAATAAAAGATGTTATACAGAGGAGTCTGAGGAGCCCTGAAAACAAAGCACCTGGTTTAGACAGAATAATTATAGAAGCTGTTCAAGCATTTGGTCAAACTGGTATCAACAGGAATTTTTAGTATAGCATGGGAAGAAAGGAAAGTTCCACTCACCTGGCAGCAGGCATTGATAGTTCAGAGATTTGGAGAGAGAAAAAAGAGTTAATACAAGAGACTGTGTATTATACAGAAGTATTTCACTCTTAAGCCCCATAGGAACACATTTTTGCAAGGTTATTAGAGCAGAGAGTTAGACTTACAGCCGAACAGCATTTAAGTACATCACAGTTTACTTTCAGGAAAGAAAAAGGTTGCATTGATGAGATGCATTATTTACACTAATAAACCATTGACTATAAATATGAAATAAATATTGTGTTTGTAGATTTGAAAAAAAAGCCTTCAATAGACGACAGAAACAAACTAAGAGCTATTTTTGAGGATTGGGGGATACAAAAACAGCTGCTAGTTAACATCATGGCCATGTACCACACTTCCCAAAGCACAGAAAACACAAGAAGGCTCATCTGATATATTAACCATCAGTACAGGGAAGAGGCAGGGATGTGTGCTCTCTCCTCTCTTATTTAAAATATAGAGAGAATATTTTTAAACAGCCAACTTTTCAAGATTCAAACCAGAAAATGAGAAACTTTACTTGTCAGAGGAAAAAGTAGATCCATACACAATAAACTAGCTACTATTTTCAGACCACTGTCTGTTCTGCAATGTGAGGAGTAGATCGCAAGACCATTTGAACAGGCTTAGCTCAACAGGCAGAGGTTATGACATGAAAGTAAACTAAAACCTAAATGATGCAGGTCGCTAGAATTCCTAGTCTGCTACATATACGTTTCAGTGGTGCGTCTTCGAAGCAAGTTAATAAATTCAAATATCTAGGAAATATATTCTCAGAGGATAGGAGAATAGATCAGGAAATATAAACAAGATGCCAATGAGTCACTACACTTATAAACCAACTGACACTGTTATTAAGACATGCAGACATAAGTATGAGCACCAAGAAACAGATTATAAACAGCAAATTCCTACCAACACTGTGCTATCAGTGCTAGACTTGGACATTATCAAAGGCTAAGCTACATACAATTATTACCTGTGAAATGAGATGACTGAGCAAAGCTGCAAGCATAAACACCTTAGACAAAAAATAGAAATAATATTATATTGTTAATATTATATTATATATAAAATATATTATACTAATAAAGCATATTATGATCATATGATGATATGCATATTATGAATATCATAAAAGAACACAAAAGCATGGGTTGTAAAATGCATGCAAAAACCTGCAAGCGCATACACACGCTTACCCACTCACAGACCATTAGAACAACAAGATGCAGCAGGTTCATTGAGAAACAGAAGATCAAATGGTTTGGTTATCTAGTAAGAATGCAGTCAGAACAACTGCCAACGCTGGCGCTACACATTGAAAGATCCCAAGTGGAAGCAAGAGGTCACCTGAGGAGAATATCGAATGTTGACACTCAAGATCTTCTACATGGGCATGGAATGAGAGTAGCCATTGTTGCCCATCTGGCAATGGATTGCAAACTGTTCCTCCCAACGACGCTTAACTGCAGAAGTGGAGATTGATGATGACTTAATAGTGGCAGAAATAATTTATAATTCAGTGTTGTGTATGCTGTTTTTCACGTAGGATTCATTTTCTTCACCCTGTTTTGTTGGCATTTCCCCCTCTTTCCAGAAGATAGTGTTTTGTGTGTGTGTGTCAAGATGAAGGTGAGAGGATCGACTTCATTGCCCCAGGTTTTATCCCATATGGGTCAGTCTCTCTCTGCAAAACAGCTAGTTGCCTGCCAAGAGCATCGCACAGAGCACATACTGTGTAGCTCTGGCGACAATCCTCAGGGATCTCCGTAAACATTGCACTGGTGAACTGACGCCGCCATAAAATGAACTCACGACCTTGCGTGCATGTGTTTCTCTCTCTCTCTCTCTCTCTCTCTCTCTCTCTCTCTCTCTCTCTCTCTCTCTCTCTCTCTCTCTCTCTTTCTTTCTCTCTGTTTCTCTTTCTCTCTCTTTTTCTCTCTCTTTCTCTCTCTTTCTCTCTCTCTTTCTCTCTCTCGCTTTCTCTCTCTCTCTCTCTCTCTCTCTCTCTCTCTCTCTCTCTCTCTCTCTCTCTCTCTCTCTTTCAGCTATGGCGTAAGCATTGTGAGTGTGCTTTATAACTCTGAGGTGCCAGGTTCAGTTTCAGTTGTGGCTTCAGGAGGATCCAGATGAGATATATTTATGTTGTGTTTTAGAGAGGATCCAGATGAGATATATTTATGTTGTGTTTTAGAGAGGATCCAGAGGAGATATATCTATGTTGTGTTTTAGAGAGGATCCAGATGAGATATATCTATGTTGTGTTTTAGAGAGGCATGGACTGATATCATAGCCCAGGTCAACAAACAAACAAACTTTATTTTCAAAGAGTGTAGCAAATTTAGCATGCATGCCCATCCTACATTTGGCCCTTCCAATCACCCATCTTTCGCACAGCAGTTGTATTTTACTAATAAAGCATGTTATGATCAAATAATGATATGCATATTATGAATATCATAAAAGAACAAAAAAGCATGGGTTATAAAATGCATGCAAAAACCCCCATGCACATACACACGCTCATCCCCTCACATACACACACATACATGCATGTATGCATACATAGTTTTAAAAAAGTAAAGATCATTTTTCACGACTTTAAAAGCATAGGGCGTATGGAAAGAGCACCCATATTTTTACAGACCAATCTGCACTAGGTGGCTAATGTGGTCAGCATTACGCCGGTGGTCTTTACTTCTTTGCTTCGACCTGCGACGCCCATTACGGTGATAAAAATCCACGCAGCCAGCAGTGGGTTTCGATCGCGGTACGTTGGAATTACGAGTCGGACTAGCAGCCCCTAAGCCACGGATGCCGCTCATACATACATACATACATACAAACATACGTACATACATACATACAGGCATGCATGAAGACACACACATACACACATGCAGACCCACACACTGACACACACACACACACACTTACGCAGAAAAACATACAGACACAGACACATACATATAAACACTCACGCACAGACACAAACACTCGCTCTTAGCTTATCTGCAGTCATTCTCTCATTTATTTACTTTCCATTCCTGAGTTGCCTCCATGCAACACAGTGTATGGTATCCTGCTCCCACATATTCACCCCAAAACGTGTATCATGAGTTAAGGACTCTAGTAATCTTTAAAGATGTTAGTAAAGGGAACGGTACAGAACCCTTTTTACACCTTACACCTGATATGTTTATTGGCCATCTTACTAAACTTATATTTTTGTTGACCAATCTTGCTCAACTTATATTCTTACTGGCCAGTCTTACTGCACTTATGTAATGTCCATTTAACACTCAGTTGGTGATGACAACATCATACCAGCCGCCTTTACTTACACAAAACATTAGAATATAGCTGTTTTAGGTTAGGTCATCCTGGGAGCCAAGGTCAGCTTTGAACAAAATTCTGAACTAAAACATTCTTGCCAGCAGGCGGGTGTATAGACACTACACCACCATGGCTCACCATCTTTGAAAATAGGTTGGATAAATACTTTTGGGGATCATTTTTTACAGAAAATAAACAGAACCTTATGTAGATTGCTACAGCATCCAGCATGAGAAAGGAGATGGAGGCAGCCCTGGCAGCTTCCCAGTGGCAGAGGAGTTTTTTTTTGGGGCCAGTTGATAATCATCATTAAGTGCCCTGCTAACTTGCATGGGTGTCATGTCAAGTTATCCTATTCAAATACTGACACTTTGTTCTTTCATGTTCATTTTAAGCAAAACCTCGCGGACCTGTCCTTACAAGAGACTGAAGACATACCTGTGTCTCACCTCATCCGCTCCACTTCAGATTCTGACTACGTGAATTCGTTGGAGTGGAAACAACAACGTAAACATATTTTCATTCTCAGCGATTCGGGGAAACCTATTTATAGCAGGTAGAGTTTGTGTGTGTGTGTGTGTGCGTCTGCTTCTTCTTCTTTCTCTAATGCTGACCTTTTGCATTAACAAGGAAAACTGCATGGGCAACACATGGTCTCTACAACACTGCCCAGGCTTTGGGCTGTGGAGAGGAGGAAATTCAGCCCTGACCTTAATCAGTATCACCATAGGCTTTGATTCCCATGTTGATGCAGAAGTTGAAGTATTTGTAGAGGAACACACATCACAGGAAGATGCTGTAAATTTACAGATGGTTCTGTGATTGGTCAGAAGCGAAGTGCATGGGCACTCACTGCAAGAACCAAAGGGAAAGTCATTAAAGAAAACAGTGGAGCCTTTGCTTCTATCACCACCAGCATTACAATTGAGGCCATGGCTTTGACAAAGGGCCTAGAATGGCTGAAAACTCAGGAGTTCACCAATGCATGTTTGTTCAGCGACTCATTGAGCAGGCTACAGAAGATCATAGTGGGATACATATGGAAACAGTGACTCCATCTGATATAACAAGTAGTGTTTTGCAAAATCACCTTGATTTTTGTCCTGGGTCATGCTGGCGTGAAAGGCAATGAGAGAGCAGACGCTCTGGCTGGGCGTGCAACTATCAGGAATGGGCCCTCTAAGGACAGGAGAGACATCATCAATGCCATACTAGAGACTAAACGCTGTGAGGCTTTCAGTTTCATGGAAAATTATTTGTCACTGAATAGACTGCATACTCTCAGTGTACCAATTGAAGCGGTGAGACCAGCACAGTATGGTGTAGCCAACCGTCGTTACTTCACCCAGAACAGATTGGGAGTTGTTAGCCTAAAAATACTTGGAGACATACTCAGGAGGAGATCATAGTCATGTCTGATGAAGATGATCTCAAAATGAACAGTGAGCAATGATTTCCATGTCTTCCTGTAGCTGGTAGAACAGTATCACATGAAAAGATGGAAGAGGGCCAACCGTTAGTTTCTTCTTCTTCTTCTTCTTCTTCTTCTTCACTTCCTCTTTTACCGCTGTGGGTGTCGAGGGAGATATAAGGTTCTGTTTCTAGCTCTTCTGGCTACCTCGACCATAGGCACATTGTGCTGTTGTAGAGTTTCTCTGATGTTATCCTTCTTCTTCTTCACTTCCTCTTTTACCGCTGTGGGTGTCGAGGGAGATATAAGGTTCTGTTTCTAGCTCTTCTGGCTGCCTCGACCATAGGCACATTGTGCTGTTGTAGAGTTTCTCTGATGTTATCCTTCTTCTTCTTCACTTCCTCTTTTACCGCTGTGGGTGTCGAGGGAGATATAAGGTTCTGTTTCTAGCTCTTCTGGCTGCCTCGACCATAGGCACATTGTGCTGTTGTAGAGTTTCTCTGATGTTATCCTTCCATATTGTTCTTGGTCTACCTCGTGCTCTACGTCCTTCTTCTCTTTCCATGTATGCTTTGTATGGTATGGTGTCACAAGGCATTCTCTCTAAGTGGGCAAACCATTTCACTTGCTGTCTTTATATGTAATCCAGAATTGGTTCTGTGCTGACTTGTTCTCTTATGATCTCATTCCTGATCTTATCTCTTATGGTCACTCCTACAGCCCTTCTCAGACATCTCATTTCCATGGTTACTAAACCGTTAGTTTACTAGTACAAATTCTGATACCATAGTAAGACATGCTAATGCCTATGGGTGTGTACCGAGTGCTGTGGTGTTGATTCTTCATTCAACATTTAAGACATGCCAATAAGGTCATGTTGTGTTCTTTATGTTTTGTTCTTTTTATGTCCTGTGTTCTGAGGTCTTGGGAAAGATAATAGACTCATTGCCTCCCTAACAAACATGCTGTAAAAGTTAACTAATTAGGGGACACTTCCTTCAAAGTCGAAGTGCATCTGCCTAAGAGGCAAGGAGTCAACAGTCTGCATCAAAATAACCCAGATCTGTAAAATGGATGTGCAGGCAGAACTCAATTTCTGGAACACGACAAAAGTCCACTGAAGTGAACGAACGACCAGAACTTTCTGCCGGAGTTTACAGAGGCTGAACACCAAGAAGAATAAGATGTTCTATCTATCTTCCGAATAACGGTCCTAAATTATTGATGCGGAAAATATACCCTAACAGGGCGTCAGTCATGTGCCAATTGCGCACTTCCGTCTTCTTAAATTGCACGCTTCAGGCGACTTCAGCCACCGCCGAGAGTATCCCCACGCCGCATGAGCGGCGTGGATTTGGGCTAAACTAGATGGCTGGGACTCACGAGCAGCTGCTACCGCATCTCCTGCAGCTTCCTTCATTATTTTATTTGCTTGTGGGGAATACTCTTGGCGGTGGCGAAAGTTGCCGGAAGTTCGCAATTCGGTGGTGGCGTTATAGTCCCCGGAAGTGCACAACTGACACGTGACTGAGGCCCTGTTAGGATACATTTTCCGGCTCAATAATTTAGGACCATTATTCGGAGGATAGCCGATGTTTTTTTTAATCTTGTGTTGTTACTTATTTCTTGTCGCCTTTTTTTCATTACAGACATGGCAGTGAAGACAAGCTGGTGACGATCATGGGAGTCATGCAAGCTTTGGTTTCGTTCGTACAGGACAGCGAGAAGGACAACCTGAGGTCCATTGTGGCAGGAGACCACAAGTTTGTCTTCATGACGAGAGATCACCTGACATTTGTTGGGATCAGTCGGGGCGGAGAGTCCACCCAGCAATTGTTGTTACAGCTCACTTACATGTACAATCAGGTTGGTGTGCCAAGTGTTTGTCTTTGGGCCTGAAAAAGATCATTGGTGAGTTCAAAGACCCCATTTTAGATGGGAGAGGGGAAAAGAGACCCACTACCCCCCTCTCTTTTTCCCAGCAAACATGTTTTGAAAAAGTGTTATTTGAGGGTTTGCTAAAATCCAATCTTGGGCTTAAAGTAGCAGATATTCCAGGATATCAGGGGCCTCTCATGGCAGTGGTGAACTGGTCACAAGCTAGCTTGGTTCGAGCACATGGTGAGACATGATTCGATCGCAGAGACTGTACTTCAGGGGATGTTAGTCGAAGAAGAGAAGGATAAAGGAGAATCTGGAATGAGAACACAAGAAATGGACAGGACTAAGTTATCATACGCTTGTTCAAACAAGCGGAATACAGAAAGGTAGAGAGTTTTGTATGTTAGTGCTTCCATCGATACACCTCCACGACCTTAACTGGTCAAGGGTTATGTTATGTTATTCCAAGCTAGCAGCACAGTGTGTCACATTTATGGGTGAGTGCAGGAGAAGAAGAAGAAGATCACAAGTTGCAGACTTCACCTCAGGCTCAAGCAAAACTTGTTCATCTCATAATGTTGTCTGTTTAGATTTTTACAAAATAAGTTTGTATATTTCCCTCTGGTTTTTTTTGGTAGTATACTGGACACCTAGCCTTTTAAGAAAAGACTGAACAATTTCCCAAATCGGCTATCCTCAAAATAATGGTCCCAAATTATCGAGGCTGAAAATATACCCTAACAGGGCCTCAGTCACGAGTCAGTTGTGCACTACCCAGGACTATACCGCCACTGCCGAGAGTATCCCCAATTCCGCTCACGCAGCGTGGATGGGGGCTAACTAGATGGCTGGGACTCACAAGCAAATAAAATAAAGGAAGCTGCAGGAGATGTGGTAGCTGCTGCTCGTGAGTCCCAGCCATCTAGTTTAGCCCCAATCCACGCCGCTCACGCAGCGTGGGGGATACTCTCGGCGGTCGCGGAAGTCGCCAGAAGGGCGCAATTTAAGTCGCCGGAAGTGCGCAATTGACACGTGATTGAGGCCCTGTTCGGGTATATTTTCGACCTCGATAATTTGGGACCTTTATTCGGAGGATAGCCCCTAAATCTTATGTGCAAATTACACATGTTATGGATCCAGTTGTCTTGCTCTCTTTGCATCTTTCTAAAAAAAAATGGAAACATTTACCTGAGCATGTTGGGAGGCTCAGTCAGACCTGAAACTATATTGGGAACTGGCAGTTTTTTGTTTTACTGTCTCTTCTTTTTTTCTGCTTCAAAATTTTTTTTTCAATTTTTCTCCCCTTTTTCTTCTTCTTCGCCTCCTCTTCCATTTTCCCTTCCTCGTGTGAAGCTGCAGTCAGGGCTTAAACAGTGCCAGTTTTTTGCCACAGAAAATATGGCTACAGGAGCGACTGTCTAAAAGAAACCCGTGGGACTCAGTAAAGAACTCAAGCGCATCATCCTGATTGTGACCTACCTTGACATAGATACATAACATGTGTTGAAAACATGAAGAAGAAGTGAATAAAATTAATGTAGTACTTTATTCAGAACTCGCACTTGCTGTTTCCCCACAGTAAACATCATGAGGAGAAATATACTGCAGGGTTGGGCCATATAAAATAAAAGATAAGAGAGGGGCAAAAACTGCAAAGGAATTTAATGGGAGCTGACCTTGAGGCAGACTAAGAAGATGTAAGAGAGATAATATACAGACAGACCTACAATCACTTGAAGTCACTAACAGGAAGGAGAAGGCCAGTCACAGAGATGAATGAAGGCAGGAGATATCTGCAGTGATGACTGTCAAGGGCTTGTAATGCTGAAGAAGATAAAGAAACTTGTGTATTATTACTTTCTATTTCGCTGCAGTTAACTGATGTGCTACCATAAATCTGATGTGTTACCGGAACTTATGACGCAGCATGTAACTTTCTCTAAATAAATTTATTCTCCCACTCCCCTTCCGCTGTAAACTGATGTGTTACTGGAACTTATGATGCAATTTGTAACTTTCTCATTAAACAAATATATCTTCCCCACTATAAACTAATACTTTACCATTAAATTGATGTATGTCAGAATTTATGAAGCAACATGTAACTTTCTCACTAAACAAATGTATCTTCTCCTTAAACAGGTAATCAGTGTGCTCACTCACACAACACTGACACGAATCTTTAAACAACATCGAAACTATGACCTCCGGCGGCCGCTGAGTGGTGCGGAGAAATTCTTTGACAATCTGCTCAACTTGATGGATGTGGAACCTGGCTTGTTACTGACGTCGGTGAGGTGTCTGCCCTTGGACAGTTCAGTCAGAGAGGTTATATCACAGACAATTTTACAGCATGCAAAAGTGAAGGTCAGTCAATGTCAGCACGGTCATGTTTCTGGGGGATCGAGACAGCCTCTGTGATCATGTAGTTGTTGTTAGTATATTTATTTACTTTAACTCTTTTGTCTTGAGTTGAAAGCAGGTGAGCCAAAAGTAGACGATGATACAGGTGAAAGGAAAACATCACAGATGGATCAGGTATTCACAGTTTTAACTTCATAGCAAATGGGTCACCTCATAGTTGCTTCATTCCTGTGCCAGTGAAGACCACACAGAATGTCCTTCACATTTCCTTGTAAAAAAGAACTGACACAAATGGTAGTCTTAGCAATCCCAATAGCCTACATGTGAATTAAAATTAGGGCAGCAGTCAGAAGTGCCAACACAAACAGTCTGACATTAGAAATGCATTTCGTCACCGATGGAAGCAGTACTTACAACAGATCAATAGTTGCAGATTCATCACGTAAGACACCAAAAGTTCTCTATCAACAAGCCACTCGCCATTTTCTAAGGCTGCATTTCACAACACAGACTACTACATTGGACACAGTTGAAAAGCATTCCAAATGAAATCTACAGCTCACAGTGTCGCACCATTTACTCAGCTCAGTCCTGGGCGAGGGAACTGTATCCTTTCAGACTACATATGGAGTAAGATGCAACAGCTAACTATTGTCAGAAGTAAAAAATTACCCTAACTAAAAAAACCGTAAACTAGCCTATCCACCATATTGGCCGGAAGCCCTCCACAGATGGATGAATAACCGTGTGAAAGAGTCTACAACCAGATACAGTTGAGGTATGGGAGATTCATTGCAGCCAGCTTTCATTGTGGAGACACCACCAGACTGATTAGCATTTGTTCACTCCACACATCACTTCAACTGAGACTGTTACTGGAACTAAGAAGTTTGTGCTGTGTGTGACAGTCTCATCAGGTGGTTAGCCGCTCTGCCAGGAGAGACCACACCTTATGGATTGAGAAGTAACAAGTGAGTTGCGTATCTTTTACAGGCCATTGCAGAACCGACCCCTGCAGTTTTTTTATGTTTGTGATTTCACTAAGCAATTTTACGTTTATCACCATTGCCTGTAAATGGTCAGCTCTGGATACCACTGTAAAAACCATTGCAAGATGGTCTGCTGCCAAATCGCTCGAAGCTGGCATTTAACTCAGCACCCCCGGAATTACAAAACGTGTTTGCAGGTCCTCAGTCACAGACGCTGATTAAAGAAGTAAATGGCTTCTTTCACGTCATTTGCACATCACCTATTTGGGGCTACTTCCAAAATTTTTTTAGAAAAAGTGTGTGATGTAGACAACACCACGCCAACCATTTTACCATTTTATTGCTCATTGTGAACATTCGTGTACAGTTAGCCGTTTAACCTAAAGTTAAATCTCTGATTACCAGATGTCTTTTTAATAAGCATTCTCTTTAATAACCAATTCTCTTTTAGTTTAAATGTAACTTCTGACTCATTAGAGAGTTAACAAAACCTCAGAACCCGGGAATTGCTGAAAAAAAATCCTTACAAAATACAGGTTGCCAATAAATTTTTTTTAAATTAAAAATGATACATTTTTTGTTTTTTTAATATGCAAGTGACTAATGACTAAACTTGAACGGAATAAATAATTAATCAACCACAGTGCCTTGGACTTTAAAAAACAAATTCTGACAGTGACTCATACCATGAAATTTGACCCCAGTTTCTAAAGGTCAAAGGAGAATTATGATATCACAAAGGCTTTAGAATACAGTTTTTTTCATAATAAATCCCTTTTCCGCCAATGCTATTTATGCAGGATTAGTGGTATCTTAGAACAAAACTGTTACTGCTGTATCCCCTGTTTGTTCCTATAACAAGTTTTGTGGACTAATTTTTTGACCAGGAATCTATTACAGTATTGTGGCAGCAGCCTAAAGAAATATTATGTGAACTTGTCAGTGTGTAGTGAAAATTTGGTGCCTTATGTTTTGTAAGAAGCGTTAATATTGTGGTGGTGTTCACTTGCAGGACCTGGTGTTTGCTCTGATCATAGCACAGAACCAGCTGGTGGCTCTGGTCAGAATGAAGAGGTACCACCTGCACCCCATGGACTTGCACCTCATCATTAACCTCATCAATGCTTCAGAGTCTTTCAAAACTGCAGAGTCTTGGACTCCCATTTGTTTGCCAAAGTTTGACGCTGGGTAAGTGGCAGGGTGGTGTTGGTCTTTCAAAACTGCCGAGTCTTGGACTCCCATTTGTTTGCCAAAGTTTGATGCTGGGTAAGTGGCAGGGTGGTGTTGGTCTTTCAAAACTGCCGAGTCTTGGTTTGCCAAAGTTTGATGCTGGGTAAGTGGCTGGGTGGTTTTAGTCTTTGAAAACTGCTGAGTCTTGGACTCCCGTTTGTTTGCCAAAGTTTGATGTTGGGTAAGTAGCTGGGTGGGGTTAGTCTTTCAAAATTTCAGACATTCCAGAAACACATTCTACTGAATAAAGCTAAACTTATTCACAAACTTAAAAATGAAGGTGCCAGTCAAACGCATTGCAGTGTTTGTAAGTAACATTTAATATTAGACTATAACTCTTCCAGGTCGACCTAGCCTTGGTGGGTACCAGGTACAGTCCTGGGAAGTAAAGGCAGCTGGCTTGATGCTGACCACATCACCACTGAGTGCCGATTGGTCTACAAAATATAGGTCTAGCCCTATGTGCCCAGTACACCTTAAGGCATGGGAAGATGTCCTTTGCTTTAACTTATTAGACTAACATTTTTGGATTCGGTTTATTATTATACTTTTTAAAAAAGTTCAGTAATCTAATTATAATTAGAGCACAATCCAGCATTTGTTATTAAGACTATGATGCTTGTGAACATTTTTTAATATTATTAATTATAAAATAATGTATATATGAATAACTGTATGCAAGGAGCTGACTGGAGGGGCAGAAATTTAGACGGGACTGTGAGCCCAATTCTTAACCCTTTGGGGGAAAAAAAGTGTGTTCATTCATTCATTTGTTCCTTGGGTGGCTGAACCTTCTGGAATAAGTTCTGAGTCTTAAATCTGTTGCTTGGTGCTGAGGTTATGTGAATCCTGTAAAAACTTGTTTGATTTAGTTTGGTGTAGAGTTTTAGATACTTCAACATTTCCAGAGTACCATCTCTAGAGAGCTGCAGGGCACTCCTTCCCCTCTCCAGTATCAGAAACCAGGGGAGTTGGGAAGACTAATGTGGAAACTTTACATCAGTGGAAAGGAATATTAGATGTAGCCAGGTTGAGATTTTTCTTCTTTCAATTCGGTGATTGTTCTTCCACTTCTGGACTGTGGTTTTGTGTTTTGTATGCACGTCTGTTTTACAGATGTGGGTTATTTGTGTACAAACTGCTGGTCCCTTGCCCATCAGACAGAAACACTCTGATTTCAAAGAAACAATGATCCTGTCCACATTGACCAGGCCCCCATTTGGAAACCTGTTTCTAGCATGACTGAAGACAGGTGTAGATAGAGATCTTCACCAGTATGAGCCCTAAAACCTGAGAACAGTATAACTGGAATGTCTTTGCACTGGAACCCAAAGGGGCATAGAAATAAAAGCAGACCAAAAAAACAAATGGAAGCAAGAGAGTGAAGTAAAAAGACAGAGAGGACATGGGGTGACACGCATGCAATGGCAAATGATAGAACTACTTGGTCTGAGTTGACTGAGGCCTATGCTTCATTGAGCGATTAAAGAAATAAGAAGAAGAAGAAGTATGAGACCTGGGGCACAGCTGGTTTGGCACCTCTGCATCCTGGCTGAGATTCCGGACTGCACACAGGATTAGGGCAGTGCTCAAGCTATCCAGAAATTTCTCAATACATTATAAACATATTGCTGAAATTCTCAACTGAGGGAAAGGAAAGATTTGGTTGAATTTGTTCACATGTTTTATCTTTTGAGTGTCTAGTCATACTTTGAATTGTGTTGGTTACTAGAACTAGGCTGGTAATGTTTCTTTCATGGTGTTTTAGGTATTTCTGAATTAGTAGACTTCACCCCAATACCCAGAGGGAAAGTGGAGCGAAATTAAGCATGTGAAATGTTCCTTTGTGTATATTTGCAGGGGATTCCTTCAGGCACATGTGTCCTACTTAGATGAGGAGTGTCAGTCATGTTTGCTACTGCTCTCCGTGGACATTGAAGCCTTTTACATCCTCTCTGAATGCAAGTCCAGAATTAAAGAGGTGTTATTCGTTATGATTATCTTATCTCAGTCATGTTGTATCTTATCGTCTGACTGACAGTTTGTCCCTTCCATTTGTACACCTGGAGGTTTGACACCCTCCTAAACCAGTGGGCTACATCTTAGATGTCAGTCCGGCAAATCAAATCTAAGATGCCTTCTTAGAAGTTACCATTAGGGCACACATATTAGCTGAATACAGCACACTGGTCATGTATTGACATTTTGACAGGGAAAAGATTGAAAATGTCAAAGATTTTGAAAATGTAAGCTGATTATTGAACAGCAATGGCGACTGCACAAAAGTAGTCAGAAAATAGACTTGCTTTAGCAATGCAGAGGCTACACAGCATAAAGAACTTTATGCATAGCACCTGCAACCAAGTTAAAGTAAAAAATTATTTTAGATTTTAATCTCTTACAAATGAATAGTCATACTTTTACGTAGGTTAGGGCGCCCTGAAAAAAATTGTAATTGAAAAAAGGCGCAGCGACTAAGAAAAGTTTGGGAAACACTGCTCTAGACCAAGACAAGTTTGGGAAACACTGCTCTAGACCAAGAAAAAAACAATGTTGACATCCTACATGGCCTGAATATCAAAGAGAACTGGCTTGTACACAGCATCCTACATGGCCTGAACATCAAGGAGAACTGGCTTGTACACAGCATCCTACATGACGTGAACATCAAAGAGAACTGGCTTGTACACAGCATCCTGCATGGCCTGAATATCAAGCAGAACTGGCTTGTACACAGCATCCTGCATGGCCTGAATATCAAAGAGAACTGGCTTGTACACAGCATCCTGCATGGCTTGAATATCAAGCAGAACTGGCTTGTACACAGCATCCTACATGGCCTGAATATCAAAGAGAACTGGCTTGTACACAGCATCCTACATGGCCTGAATATCAAAGAGAACTGGCTTGTACACAGCATCCTACATGGCCTGAATATCAAAGAGAACTGGCTTGTACACAGCATCCTACATGGCCTGAATATCAAAGAGAACTGGCTTGTACACAGCATCCTACATGGCCTGAATATCAAAGAGAACTGGCTTGTACACAGCATCCTACATGGCCTGAATTTCAAAGAGAACTGGCTTGTACACAGCATCCTACATGACCTGAACATCAAGGAAAACTGGCTTGTACACAGCATCCTACATGACGTGAACATCAAGGAGAACTGGCTTGTACACAGCATCCTCTCCTGAAAGCTGGGATATTTAGGATATGTCAATTGTCATGGTTGTTTGGAGAGAACGGTGATGGAGAGTGCAGTTTCCAGAAGACAAAGCTGAGGATAACCTCCATGAAGGTGGACAGTACATTAAAGATGTATTGGTTGTGAAAGCACATAGGGCTGAAGGGTTGGCTAGAGAAAAAGAGACTTTCATGTGTGCCATGGAGGGAACGATGTTCTGTAAAGGACATGCTGATTGATTGATTGATTTATATTAGCAACACTTACTGCTAAATTAGCGTAACGCTCTCTTTTTATGGGTTCAGTGTTAAGTCATCCTTCATTGTACCTTGTGTTTTCTTCTCTCTGGGATTGCTCCCTGAAGGTTTGACACATAGTGACTCAGAAAGCCACTGTCTGGATACCAGCCAAACAGACAAATCCAGATGCTCTGTTCAGCCTTATAAAAGTTATTCTAGGGCATTCTATTGGCTATACAAAGTAATCTGCTTGTCTTGTAAAATTATATCTTGCTCAGTTCTAGTGAGTTATTCTTCTCTGTTTTCTTGAATAATCTTTTGGTGTTTGGGTTATTGTAGAACCCGGTAGATTTTAACTGTGTACCATTTACATGGTATACAGCATGTCATAGGCCACTAGTTAAGCATTTTGGTAAAACGAAAGATAATTCCCCCCCCCCCCTCCCATTCTACAAACCGGTACACACTAGCTTGCTTCTGGTTGGTCAACCTTCAGCCCACCTCACTTCTGATTGAGCCATCCGACTTTCACACAAAGTGACAGGGCTGTTCCGCAATGCCGTTGATATCGCGTGTTGTATATTTCACCATGCTAGAGCTTTTAGCACTCCAAAAACATTTAGAAACTAGGTCTAACACACAATCCCCCTAGAGAGTAGTGAAACCTATGTCAGTCTCTTTCTCAGAGTAAAAACGAAAATGCAACACAATAAATGCAACACAATAACATACTGCCACACCCATAACCTCGACCAGGGTAGACTAGTCCAACAAACTTATCAATGAAATTGACCTACTTTTCATGGGGAGACTAACGTTTTAATAACCAGCATGTCTCCTTCATAGTTGGAGCGCATCTGCCCGAGAGGCAAGGAACTAAGAGTCTGCATACAAATGAGCCAGATCTGTAAAATGAAATGTGCACTCAGAACTCAAGTTCTGGATCAAGAAAAAAGTCAAGGAATAGACGAACAACGCCTTTGGAGTTTACAGCCAGTGAACACTAATTAGTTAATCATTAATTTTATGATTAAGACATTAAATTAATGTCATTGAAATAACCAATCGGCATTGCTTCCCCAACAGAGATTGATACGATACAATGCTCTTGAAGCAATCAACGCCTCACTGAAAAAACGCTCCTACTCAATCCAAGCTTGCAGCATCACAGACCTCAGACATTTCCTGTACAAAGCTCGCAGCACTGCACAGTACACAAGTCCAGAGTTCGAGACCCCATACCACACCAAGGAGGAGCAGGAGAGACTGTTTAGTCTGTACTACTATCTCCACGATCGGATACACACATCAGGCCGGCCTCTGAAGATTTTATTTCATGTAGGACAGTACGAGACATTGTTAGGATGGGTAAGTTGTATTATTAAGTTGGGTAAGTTATCGTGAGAGGTTTGTTTTGAAATGGAGGTGAGGCGATTTAGTTTAATAAAGATTCCTCTGATTTGTTTGAATAAAGGTTCATCTGATTTGTTTTAATGAAGGTTCATCTGATTTGTTTGAATGGAGGTTCATCTGATTTGTTTTAATGAGGGTTCATTCTGATTTGTTTTAATGAAGGTTCATCTGATTTGTTTTAATGAAGGTTCATTCTAATTTGTTTTAATGAAGGTTTATCTGATTTGTTTTAATGAAGGTTCATCTGATTTGTTTTAATGAAGGTTCATCTGATTTGTTTTAATGAAGGTTCATCTGATTTGTTTTAATGAAGGTTTTATCTGATTTGTTTTAATGAAGGTTCATCTGATTTGTTTTAATGAAGGTTCATCTGATTTGTTTTAATGAGGGTTCATTCTGATTTCTTTTAAAGAAGGTTTATCTGATTTGTTTTAAAGAAGGTTTATCTGATTTCTTTTAATAAGTTTAATTGATTTAATAACCAGCATGACAGCAGATTTTAGAACATTCTCAAAAATGCTAATTCCTCATCTTCCACAGCCAACCTAATTTTGGCCAGTGTATTTTCTCTGTGCACTCTTCTGCAGGCTGTACAAGTCGAGGCAAAAGTAAAAGAAAAAATAAGTAAAGGACCCTTTTCCACGCATTTAGGCGTATAGGGCATATAAGGCTAGGCTTATGTTTTTATAGACCAGTTGGCACAAGATGGGTGATGTGGTCAGCATCACACCGACTGCCTTTGCTTTCCCGGGACTTCACCTGGTACCCACTCAAGGCTGGATAATCCTGGGAGCCAAGTTCATTTTTTTTTTAAAGTCCAGCTCTACCAGGGAGCGAACCCACGACCTTCCGATCCGCAGCGAGCGTCTAGCCGCTCGGACATAGCGATTCCCTCGAGGCAAAAGAAACACCTATAACTTGGTTTGGGCTCCTTCGAGAGGGAGGGTCCGTCTGCCTGGCAGGATTCACCAGCTGATGAGCTCCGTCTGACCGGTTTTGCATTTCTATCTCCTATCATTTTTTTTTCCTATTTGATTAACTAGGCTTAAGAGTTAGAACATATTCAAGAGAATTCATAGCCAACAAAGAAGTCAGTCAGCCAACAAATAAGTCAACCAGCCAAGAAGACATTATGTCTAAAGCAATTCATGATGTGTAGAGTTTCTGGAGAAGGCGACAGGAATAGATAAAGAGGGCGTAGAGTGTGAAGAATTTACTTGTATTTTGAGACTTTTTTTATCTTCACAGGTGACCCAAGGTTTTGAATTGTACGCTGTATTTGGTCCGCTTGTGACGAAGATGACAGCAATCCATGCGGTCAACAAGCTGCTGCGATGGATCAAGCGTGAGGAGGATCGCTTGTTTATTTTGAGCTCCGCCACTTTTTGATGACACCTTGGGGCACATCACTTGTAGTTGAAGAACTTTTGAGCTCTGCCAATTTTTGATGATACCTTGGGGCACATCACTTGTAGTTGAAGAACTTTTGAGCTCCGCCACTTTTTGATGATACCTTGGGGCACATCACTTGTAGTTGAAGAACTTTTGAGCTCCGCCACTTTTTGATGATACCTTGGGGCACATCACTTGTAGTTGAAGAACTTTTGAGCTCCGCCACTTTTTGATGATACCTTGGGGCACATCACTTGTAGTTGAAGAACTTTTGAGCTCCGCCACTTTTTGATGACACCTTGGGGTACATCACTTGTAGTTGAAGAACTTTTGAGCTCCACCACTTTTTGATGATACCATGGGGCACATCACTTGTAGTTGAAGAACTTTTGAGCTCCGCCACTTTTTGATGATACCTTGGGGCACATCACTTGTAGTTGAAGAACTTTCGAGCTCCGCCACTTTTTGATACCTTGGGGCACATCACTTGTAGTTGAAAAACTTTTGAGCTCCGCCACTTTTTGATGATATCTTGGGGCACATCACTTGTAGTTGAAGAACTTTTGAGCTCCGCCACTTTTTGATGATACCATATGGCACAACACTTGTAGCTGAAGAACGTTTGAGCTTGGCCACTTTTTGATGACACCATGGGGCCCACCACTTGTAGTTGAAGAACTTTTGAGCTTCGCCACTTTTTGATGATACCCTCAAAGTTCTGCCACAGATGAGAATGTGTGGAAGAACTTTCATGAGACTAGAACTCATGACATTTCGAGCCATGATTCACCACTTTTGATTTAGACTTTCCTGTGATTTGAACACTGCCTTGGCAAATTCAAGATCAGCTATGGAATGTTTAAAAAAAAATGAAGTCAGTGAGTTCCTCATGTAACATTCGCATCATTCAGTGGCAGTTTATTTTAAAACTTCTGCTACCAAACAACATATCTCTGACATCTGTAATGACACTGGCATCAGCAGATGACATTTACTTTCTTGATGGATTATTAAATGATACCTCTCTTACCCAATATTAGTGTCTTTCTTCGTGATTAATGACCTAATTGAGTTGATATTCCAGGCTATTGTTATGTTTAGTTTATGCTCTCTGCATGCAAAGAAAGATCCAAGGTTTGCCCAGTTGGTAGTTGTGGAAACCATGTTGTATAGATCAGTGGCGGACATGAGTCTCACAATTTTTTACTGAGGCCTTTTCATCTGAAAACCACTGGCAGGGAGAATAAAAAGAAGAAGAGTTTGTCTCCCACCCCCCCCTTTTTTTTTGTTCTAGCTTTTCATTCAGTATAAGTGTGTGGATGTTTGTGAGTTTATTAGTGGTGTTTATACATGCCTAGGTGAGGGTGTGTGAGTGTGTATATGTATTTATAAGAGTCTGTATGTATGTAATTAGGAATGTGTGAGTTAGTATGTATGTGTATATTTATGAATGTGTGAGTGTTTTGTAAATGAATGTTTGTATATGTATGAAATGATGTATGTGGTGTGTGTGCATATAATGTATGTGTTTGTGTATGTATATATATATATATATATATATATATATATATATATATATATATATATATATATATATATATATATATGTGTGTGTGTGTGTGTGTGTGTGTGTGTGTGTGTGTGTCTGTGAGTATGTATGTAGGCATGTATGTATGCATGTGCGTATGATTGTATATTTGAATGTATGCAGTGTATGTATTTACTATCCATGTTTTTGTGTATTTTTCTTGATACTCATAGAATGTATATTGTTATATGAACAGAGATAAAATACAGTTGCAGGGTGAAAGGTGAATTTTTTTAAGAACCCATTGTAAAGCTTGATTTGCCCCATAGCATGTTACATTCTCCTAATTTTAACATTTAGTCAGACCATATTACAAAAACCTGGCTTCCCCAATGGAATGACCTATGTGTGTGTATTGCCACTTTGAAAGTCAAGTATTCATGATTTTTCTTTGTGGTTATTTCTTTGCATTGACATTTCCTGTGAAGCCTCCTGGCACTGAATGAGCTCAAAGGGAATAACGATTAGAAGAAACAGATGTATTTAATATTAATAATGATAGTTTACATATGAGAGGTGACTGGCCGAATGGTTAAGCATACTGGGTTCTTGTGCAAGAGACCCATGTTTGAAACCTTGGTAAGGTTATGGGGTTTTTCTTTTTTGGGCAAAAAATAAAATTCTAACCTTACAGTCCATGGTGACTGTGCTAGCCATGCAGCCCCAAATCCTCAGACTTAAAGACCATCATTCCCACATCACAGACTTCATAATTACAGATGATACTGTCAGTTTAGATCTCTCTATTATCTGCCGTTTGTATTAAGTTACTTACAAAACCTGTTCTTGTTGTTCATATCAATCCTCATTGCGCCCAGAGGCACATAAGGCATAGACAAACTGCTTGTTGTTCATTACAAATTACTTGACTTGTACACATGCTCACACGTGTACAGATACACAGGTGTACATATAATATTTATGTGCAATTAATAGATGTTTTTTTTATTTCTTAAAATAATGTTTTATTTGTAACTATGAGCACTCACTGGATTTCACTAAAAACTCTGAATAAATGTTTTTGAGATGACAGTAAGCAGATTTACCTCGTGATAAAAAATATGTCTTAATTTGTTACTTTAGTGTCCACTTAAACATCTTAAATTTGCCAAATTCTCTAACAATGCTGAAATTCTCAATGTTGTGAATATTAGATGGGACCACCAGTTATAAGTTTGGTTTCTCAGAAACTTTGAAAATCGTGGGGGTTAAACTGAACATGAAACAGTGGTGACTAGACCAGACATGAAATAGTGGTGACTAGACCAGACATGAAACAGTGGTGACTAGACCAGACATGAAACAGTGGTGACTAGACCAGACATGGAACAGTGGTGACTAGACCAGACATGAAACAGTGGTGACTAGACCAGACATGAAACAGTGGTGACTAGACCAGACATGAAACAGTGATGACTAGACCAGACATGAAACAGTGGTGACTAGACCAGACATGAAACAGTGGTGACTAGACCAGACATGAAACAGTGGTGACTAGACCAGACATGAAACAGTGGTGACTAGACCAGACATAAAACAGTGGTGATAAAACTGGACATGAAACAGTAGTGACTAGACCAGACATGAAACAGTAGTGACTATTAGATCACACAATAATCTCTGGTGGCTAGACTGTACATGAATCTGTAGTGACTAGACAGGACATTAATCCGTAGTGACTAGACCAGACGTGAATCCGTGGTGACTAGACCAGACGTGAATCCGTGGTGACTAGACCAGACGTGAATCCGTGGTGACTAGACCAGATTTAAATCCGTGGTGACTAGACCAGGTGTGAATCCGTGGTGACCAGATGTGAATCCGTGGTGACTAGACATGAATCCGTGGTGACTAGACCAGATATGAATCCGTGGTGACTAGACCAGACATGAATCCGTGGTGACTAGACATGAATCCGTGGTGACTAGACCAGACGTGAATCCGTGGTGACCAGACTAGACGATAATCCGTGGTGACCAGACCTAGACGTGAATCCGTGGTGACTAGACCAGATGATAATCCGTGGTGACCAGACCAGACGTGAATCCGTGGTGACTAGACCAGATGTGAATCCATAGTGACTAGACCATACATGAATTCGTAGTGACTAGGCCAGACCAGACGTGAATCCGTGGTGACTAGACCAGATGTGAATCCGTGGTGACTAGACCAGACGATAATCTGTGGTGACCAGACCAGACATGAATCCATGGTGACTAGACCAGACGTGAATCCGTGGCGACTAGACCCTACATGAATCTGTAGTGACTAGACCATACATGAATTCGTAGTGACTAGGCCAGACCTTACATGAATTTGTAGTGACTAGACAAGACATGGCATGATGGTGACTAGACCAGAAATGAAATGATGGTGACTAGACCAGAAATGAAATGATGAGTGACTAGACCAGACATTAAAAGTTGACTCCTTGTCAACAGTTACTTAAAGTGACATCGTTTTTCCTGTAAGAAACAATTCAGTTAACATATAGTGATTTTATTTTCAGGTACAAAAATAGCTCATATGATAAAGTTCACAAAAGTGTGATATTTCTTAATCGTATTTAAACAAATGTCAATGTATCAGTATATACTAGGCTTTGCAGTTCAAGGCAAAGGGATTTATAAACATTGAAACAAATCACACACTGTAATAAATGGGATATGTAATTGAGGATGCATAGATTTCTGTATAGATAAATTTATGGTATAAACCAAGGATTCTTTTCCTGCCACTGTTCATTCTTTTCCTGCCACTGTTCATTCTTTTGTTAAATGACACACACCAAAAAAAAAGTTATTTTTACAGCATTTAACCTGCGTCTTTGGCAGCCTCAGTTATAATTATGGTTTGAGTTTTGTGATGTTTCCTTGCTTTTTCTTTGTGGCGGATAGGTCCTGCGAATATTTCTTTCTTTTTCCACCCATGTTGGTTGGACCTTTTGCCGTGGAGGTACCTACTGCTGGGAGTTGGTGCTCCATTGTAGATCCTAAAAAGGATTAGTCCTTATAAAGTAGGACTTTTCATCTGGAAGCCCCCGGCCTAGTCAGACCCAGAGACTTATAATCTAGCCTTGCGATCAGTGCCAATTGTACTGTATTAATGATCTTTCTACACTGGGGCTCAGGCACTCTGACCCTTGGTGATCCCCATTTTCGTCATTTCAGCCTCTAAGTAAACTTGAGCCTACTTATAAAGTCTTACCAGATGTTTCAGGCTGACGGTCTGTGCCATCATGCCATTGGAACACTGTGGATATTGTTTTATAGACCAAATCGCTCTCAGTCAATGATGTTGCCAACATCACATGTTTTGATTTTACTTCGCAGGGCACCACTATCTTAATTATGTTAACCTGTGAGCCCAAGTCAGTGATGAATATTTAACTTGATGTAGGTTCGAATCC